GTGGTAGAGACAGTGTTCGGCGGCCATAGCCGCAAGTTGTACAGTTGTTCTGAACAGAGTTTAAAAGCAAGTCCATTGTTGATTCTGAGTTCACGAGTTTGGTTTGCCATCGGTTCTCATGTGTGCATGTCGTGAGCAAGTCCAGAGTCGAGTCTGATTGCAGATTTGCCTACAGGTTGTCAAAGCCCTTGATTATCTCCCTTAGCCCTGTGTGGGTTTTAAACCTGGTAGTACCTCCGCCAGTGTTGGGAAAATACTAAAATAGGAAAAGTGGCAGTTTTCCCAAACTCCTAAAAATTCGGAGGCCGGGCCCAACGATGGCTGCCATTGAAGCTTCTTGGTGTAGCTCTACCCCCGCTGGGGCCTTCCTGCTGCAGCGCCCACCAAGGTGATGAAGATGGCTGCCACCATAGCCAGGTAAGTAGCTCTGGCGCTCCTCCCCCTTCCTGTCCTTCTTCCTCCTCCGAGTCCTTGCTTCTTCCCCAGCAGCACTGCTCCAAGCTAGCGCTGCTCCAGCCAGCGCTCCAACCAGTGTGTCGCCAAACTTGCACACCGACAATGAGGCTGGGCTCTTCGCCCAGCCTGGAGATATAGCGGCCTGCTTGCCGCTTGGGCGGTGACTTCCAGGCTGCTCGGCCTTCCAAGCAACCAGTACCTCCTCCCTTTCGGAGGGAAACATCATTGCAGACTCTGATATTGCCTGTACAGGCCCTAGACTCTGACTGGTACCCGCCTAGACCTAGCCTACAACTACTGGGCCTCTAAAAATGCCACTTTTGTCTTCTTCTGCTCGGCCTCCAGTACCCGGCACATCTACCACTTCAGGGTGTGGTACCGGCCTACCTGCTACTTGAGTGTTTCCCCGCTGCTTCAGTGTGAGCCTCTTACCCCACCACTTGAGTGTTTTCCCCCCGCTGCAATCCTCAATGCCACGGCCACGGTAAGTACCGGCCCTGAGGGCCTAACGAGCGAACAAGTGCCCTTGCGGGCCACACACACACTCAAGCCAACCAGCACTCAGACAGACATGCAGTCCAGCAAGCATGCACACACACAGACTTAGAGAACTTAGTACCAAGGGGGAAACTCAGCAAGGCATTTAGTCTATGAGCAAAACTCAGAAATCAGCCATGTGTTTCAGTCCATGTTTGGTCGGGTCATCACAGTTTCGTTCTTTAAACTTATTTTGAAATGACCAAATATTTATTATTTTACAAAACAGTAGGTGTTTCTGTACCCTGTCCTTCGGGACATCCGGTAAAAGTGGAACGATGCAGAGAAGATTAGAAACAGAAAGGTGTTTCTGTACCCACCCAGCCCATGTGGCTTAATGGTAGACCCATGAACTGTTGATAAAGAGATCTAAAGTTTGAATCCTCACTGACACAGAAGATAGATGGGAGTCCTCAGATAGGGTTTAGGGTTTACCCAAAACATTGAAGCTTGGAGGAACAACCCCACTGCTTCGAGCCTCAAGGTTTTTAGTCTACAGGCTGGAAACTGAAGGAGCAGCTTCACTACTCTAGAGCTTCAAAAGGTTAACCGACAGCTCGAATAACTGAGAGGAGGAAGAGGAGGAGGAGGCACATAGGAAGCAGAGGATGTGTCAATCTTGTCAGTGGTCTCGTGATTCTTGGATAGATAGAAAATGCTTGTTTTTTTTAAAGAAAAAGAAAGAATTATCTGTGGCTGATCATTTCAATCAACTTCAAAGTTCAATGATGATACCTGAAAGGTTTCCCCTTGAAAAGGAGGGGAAAAAAAAGTGAGGCGTGTGCTTTGTTCTCCTATGAAAAAAAAAAGTCAGGCGAACCCTGTCAAAATCATGCTAAGGAGGGCAGAAGTATTTCTGTTACCCATCTAGGCTCTATTCTTTGCCTGCCAATTCAAGAAACCAGGGCCTGTAAGATTGGTGTTTTGCTGAACGTACCTGAGAATTTGTGTTATAACTTTGTCATTTCAGTGTTTAGAAGAATTCGACCCAGGGGTGAAGGAGTCTGCTGCGTGGGCTCTAGGTTACATCGCACGCCACAATGCGCAATTAGCACACATGGTGGTCGACGCAGGAGCAGTTGGACTCCTAGTGCTCTGTGTTCAGGTGAGTTTTTGCCTAATGACAATCCCACCTCATGGTCAGGTCGTGGACTATCCTTGTCGAGGTGCCCATGCTATTGCTTTGCTAATGTTTGTTTACGTGTCAATTGTAATTCCGAGTTATTGATGCATATGCTTAAACCACCAGTACATGGCCCCAGTAGTTATGGATCCATACATCTGGGCCTTATCCCTCTTCCTTGCAAGCCCAGATTCGAACCGGCGACCTTGGCCTCAAGAGCCAAGTCTCTTAACCACCACAGCCAGGACACTGTGTTCAAAAGTGGAACCATACCGGTCATGATATCCCACCCTACCCTGCAAGGCTGTAGTGTCCAATTCGACGCACACCACACTCAACACCCATGGACACGGCAATTCTCGCACACTTCGCAGTTCGCGGGAGCCTTCCACAGTACTTATGGATCCGTACGTCTGGGCTTGTCAATTGTAATTCTGAGTTATTGATGCATATGCTTAAACCACCACTACATGGCCCCAGCCAAGTTGAGAATCATCATTGAGCCTCTCCGGAAAAATCGGAGGCTTGGGACAGGATGTCCAAAGGGCTAGTAGGAAAAAAAACAAATATCGCCCGATCCCGTGCCACCGTGGGGTGGCACTATGCCCAGCCCTGAGCAAAATAACCAAAATTCCGCCTGCCCCCTGGTGGGCCGTGTCCCGAGTCCCCGGACTTTTCGGCGAGCATCATTTGAATCCTCCAGATGTACTGATGGTGTAAAGGACTGTCGGATACCCTCTCATAGGGGTCGGCGGATGTCTTCTTGCGTTTTTACCTCTTTCTTGTTTTGTGAGTAACAGAGCCTTATGGTCCAGCTCTGTTCCATTGTCGGGAGCAGTACATGTATACACCACACTGCAACGAAGCCAATCTTAGGATCTCACAATATCCACACCGTTCATGAACCTCACAATGCTCAGTGATTAACAACTCGAAGAGATATCAAGTGAACCGGAGTTCAGACCAAGGATGAGAAAAATGAGAGGAGGACGATTGTTTCCAATGATAGTCAATGAATGTATCACCGTCCTCCAGACTGCTTCTCTCTCTTCCCTCCAACCCACATTAGTCAACCTATTCCTCCACCGATGATGCAGCCGGTATGTCTGTTACAACACCTCGCCAATTGCCAAAGCCACTCTCCATTGCAGTACCAATCAGGCACAAAGAAAAATAACTTCTGTCCAAATAATGCCAGCCTTCAGAAGCAAAGCTCTGTCTCACCATGAATGTAACAACGCCAGGTAAGTCCGGGCAAGCTCTCTCTCTCTCTCTCTCTCTCTCTCTCTCTCTCTCTCTCTCTCTCTCTCTCTCTCTCTCNAACGTTGACGGCAAGTATGCTGAGAATCAGCAGGTTGGCTACTGATGAGGAAGATGCGATAGCATCCATATCAGCTCTGGTTATGGAATCGAACCTCCGGGGCTATCCCCCGGAGGTCTCTCTCGGATCTCTAGCAAGGTTTGTTAGAGTGGCCGGTGGTAACTGGGGGGCTTCGCTCCTCAAAGTTTACCCCGACCTGCATAGGCACCTACTGTAATGTGCAAGCCCTTTTCACTTGGTTGATTTTGTTTTTATTTTTTGTTTTTATTTTCTGTTTTTATTTTCTGTTTTTTTTTTATTTGTTAATTCTTTTGATATTTTCAGGAATTTGTGTGGTTTTGAGATCTGGTCCACGGGATGGTTTTTGAAAAGGCTAAGGCCGTTTTTCATTGAGTATGCACGAATCGGTATAGTCGGCACTAGGGCCAAAGGTACCTGTACCTGTTTTTTGGAGTAGCAGCCGCCGCGTGTATTATAGGTGGGGAAATCGTAGAATGCAARCSAAKTTTTCAGGTGCATGCCGGTTCGCTCGGCAGTGATCACGGGTAAGTTTGACAGAAGCCATACACGGYTATGGCGATAATTAGTATCGCCGGRTATGGGTGTCGATCCGAGAGMRAGTCAGAAAAAAGATCGAGMKTTTTTTTTGGCGCCGGCACATCGATGCRATCTAGTAGCTGGAAGGTAAGGCGGGTTTTCGGTGCGTGACGGTRTTCAGAAAGCGGGTTTTTGCRAAGCTGCACGAGTGGAGGTTTTTTGGTACATGAGCTTATGAGGCATACTCAAGTYGGGAGGATCGTAGTAGATTKTGGCAAGAAGGAAAGAATGGGAGAAGGCGTTGGGGTGGTGGTACGCYGTGTTCAGAAATGTCGGACAGGGAGAAAGAAGGAAAAAAGGAAAAGAAAAAGGARAAGGAAAAGAAAAACGAGGAGGGAAATGGACACGAGGGAGGAGATCGGAGAGAGGTAGTATGGTTGAAGTCGTATTGGTGAGGGAGCTGGTTAGTATTTAAGAGATGGGAGKGATGGCCTAAACCCTCTCACCAAGCTAGTATGCTTGCTCAGGAAGCTTTGGGTTCTCCCTGATGAGTCTGTGGTTGTGCGCCCACAGCGAAACGCGTCGGAGATCGCGTGCATGTGCTTTAACGATGTTTTGTTGTCTCTCAGAGCTATTTTGAAGGCTTTTTGCTGGTATTCGGTTGTACTGTGTATGAGCTTCCTGCGACAAGAACAGTGCGGCCGCTGTTTTCTGCAAACTCGGTGAGCGTGGTAACCTACTTTGCACTGTCGGAGAGTTGGTGGCTACGTACGTGATGATGGTCTTGTGAGCTGTTGTTATGCTTAGTGATGGTTATGCTGGGTGAGAGTTTATTTGATGAGGCTGGAGAGTTGGCTAGCCGGTTATTTGGTGTGCTACGTGAGGGTTATGTGATGGGTATCTGGTTGTTGCGAACTCGGCGGGCGGATTCGTAAGGGATAGTAGATTCGTGAGGGTGAAGGTGGTGGGAAGAGCCGCGTTCGGGTGATTGATTGTCTCTCATTGTATGGGATCAGTGGATTTGTTTGGTCCGCTCTGCAGTCAGATACGGTATGTGCTCCGCGCGTCTATGAGATTCGAGTTTCTGCATATGTTCGGCGTGTGGGTCTACGTTCTCGTATGTTGCGTCGGTTAGCCTATAGTATTCGGGGTATACTGCGCTCGTCCAAGGTAGTAATTTCAAGAGAAATGAGCAGAGGATCGCGCCGAGGTAGAGATTACTTATTTATAGTCGCTTTAGGAATCGTGATTGTCGACGGTTTATGGACAAGGGGGAACGGGAGTAGATCTTGGGGATTTGAAGCGAAAGTTGTTGTGACCATTAAGCGTTCGGACTACTAACCTCCAGAGGAATGAACACGAGACACATAAGAGAGGAGGAATTAGAAAGACTTTGGGCTGATTTAGAAAGGGAGTTTGATACTTTAATCCCTATTATTCACATCGCTATCAACGACGAAGATGCAGACACGAGAGCTGAATAGTTCTCTCAATTAGATAGAGTATTGGGAAGGGTGTATAGTGTGGGTTGTGTACTTAGAGATTGGAGGAGTCGGAGGATTAGAGTATCTAGAAGGAGGCAGGAAACGAATGGCTAATCCAGCCCATTTCTCAAATTTGCAGCAGGTCCCGTTTACTAATCTTTCGAATTCACAGCAGGTCCCGTTTGCTAATCCTCCGATCAACGGGGCTGCTGGAGGGGGTACTGGATATGGGTCCGTGACGTGTTATATATGTGGTAAAACGGGACATTACTCAAGAAACTGCTGGCAAGCCTCCGGGAGGCTTCCCTCGCAACCCCAGTTGGATAGCGAGACTATTGAGATGAGAGATTTCTATAAGAGAGCGGTTCAAAAGGAATGGTCAAAAAGAGACGAGGTCATCTGCGAATTAGTGCGCTGTAGAACGAGATTGGCCTATGAAGGTTTCGTTGAGAAGAGGGACGACATCTCTCCGTTAAAAGAGAAGTAAGGAAGGTAGCGGTTTTTCTTTTGGATTCTGAAGGCGATGGAGGAGTTGGAAACGTGTATGCTGCTCCGGAAGGAGAGGATGGGCGAACAAGGGAGGTTGGTGCACCATGAGCTTGAGACGCGGGTAACGAGACTATTCCTTTTAATGGCGGTAATAGGTTCGTTCCCTTGGATGAAGAAATGGCTGGGTGTGATGGATGAGGAAGCTTCGGAGAAAATTGACACAAGAGAGTCTGGTATTTTATATTGTTGTTAGTCCATGGTGCAAGCATCTCTACATCGGGTGTACCACTAGGAAGGTCATCACAAGGTGGGCTGAGCATGTGAGGTGCGCTGTGTCCGGAAATTTTGGTAATGCTAGGAAGTTGCACGTTTGGTTGAAACGTTTTGGATGGGAGCGCTATGTAGTTCTTCCGGTGGTGACAGGCGTGGAGGATCTGGTGAAAGTAGAATCGTTGCTGATAAAGCGGTTTTCCCCTGCCCTTAACAGCATTGGCAAAGGGCAAGGGTGTGGGAAGTAGAAGAGAAGGAAAGGGAAGAGGGAGAGAGGAAAGAAGGATCTTTTGAATACGCAAGGAATAGTAATATGTTTCACGGTCAAAGGAGTGAAGACATCGTCTCTCATAGAGTCTCTGAAGAAGGTGGAGAAGGACGGAGGGAAGGGGCAGATTGTATCATCAGGAGGTAAGATGTGGTCTGATAGCTGGTCGCTCGTGAGAGCTAAGGCGGGCGAATCAATAGTTGAGCATGGAGGAAAGATCCTGAAATTAAGAGAAGCAAGGAAGTTTTTTGAGGAAGGCGGGTCTGTTCAAGTGAGGAGTGTGAAGTTTGTTTCCTCGGCGATCGTCCGACGGAAGAATTTTTTGAAGGGACTAATGGTCCGCCCTTGTTCCGTGAGGGATGCTTATCGGTTCTCATCCGCAAAGCTCATCGCTCTGTACAGAACGGCGGGTCTGTTTTCCCAGAAAAAAAACTCGCACTTCCTTAAAATTGAGATTAGCGAAAGTGATTAGAGGGAAGTTTGGTTTCAATATTAGAAAAAGACCAATCATCAAAATTTCGTTCTCACCGTTATTGAGAATGAGCATGGTGAGGATGATTGCGATTGATGCATTGCATCTGTTGGTTCCTGACAGAGCCATTGGAAGTTATGT